TAACAATAAATCTATTCCACTAAAGTGAATCCATGAGACTTTCACAGTTTTAAAAACGAATACCAACGACCGTTCAAAGTTTCAGGTAATGTTGCATGTAAAGATGATTGACAATAAACTGGCTGAAGTTCTTAAGTCTATAAAACATGTTGACATCATTTCAGATGTTTTTTTCGACAGACTGAGATCACAAACAACACGTGGGCCAAGAACCTCTGGATTATCAGAGGTATCTGCGTGCCTAATTTGAGATATGTCTAGTTCTCCGTACCAGACGACTGCGCGTTAGCCAATCAGATTATTCGCATTACTCAAACGAAAAGCGGCCACATACACTTTATGTGACACTTAAGTGCAATGAGTTGATTGCTAACGGCTCAAAGACGATCTTCACGAACATCTCGTTGTTTTTTAACTATGTTCCACTGTAAGAGAAAATTGTTCATATCTGTGGTTTGGTGAATGAATATCAAAAACCAAAATGTACTTACATCGAGCATCTTAAGAAAATGTTACGGCGCTGTACACTGAACGTACACGTCCGACTAGACAATTGACAAAAAGGACAAATTAGCAATGCAGCCATGGGTTGTTCTCTCGGTCCACTTCCGTCGAAAATTTTCATGGTCGAGCTTAAGAACCTTATGCATCGACTATGTTTGAGTAAAAAGGTTAGTTCTAGCCTTTAACCACTCTGATGAAGCAATCAATTTCACACTTGAAAGTGATGTGTTTCACATTTCCAGATGTCCTGGTAACAAGCAAACAGGATGACCTTGTGCAGGTCAAAGTGTATGGAATGAAAATTTGGGTCAGTCAACTTACCCAATCTAACAGTTTTGTGCCCCTACGACACGAACGAAAATATGAGGTGGAGCTAATCATTAATCACTCAATAACCTCGTTACCACGACAGTCCTAAAGTAACAAAAGAGTCGTTCTAAACAGACAGAGATGAATACCACCGTCTCAGAAAAACTGGCTAAGCTTATCGTAACAATCGGTGCTTATCAGTTGTGTAAACAACTGTGAATGCTTGCATGGGATCCACTTGGTGATGACTCTCCGGGAAATGACGGACGATCGCTGACGCTGGTGATCTGTGCGGAGGTTACTGTGTGCAAACATGAACGCCAGTTTGCATCTGCTCCACCTTCTTCCTCATCCATGCTGGGATCTGTCCTGAGATCAGAAACTTCAGCTGCCGTCCCTTCAGGTCAGTGTAGTCGACCTGGCAACTAGGTGGGAATCGGTAAATGATATGGAAAGTGGCGAACGGAGATGTCTAAGGTTTTGGAGGTGGAATTTGAATCCACTTTCTGCCACAGGTTAACATGATCTGTGTTGCATTATGCGTCCGTAGTACAACGGCCTTTATTCAGCGTTGTAACGACGTACTGACATCATCCCTCTTGAACGGCGGTTGTAAAACAGCTTTCTTCTTTGACACCACCACAGGGTTCGCTAGTGGAGTAATTCTTTGGAAAACTTGGAGACCAGTGATCGCGGGTACCAGCTGTCCAAGAGAACCGGATTAGTTCATTCTGGATTGTGTCCTGCGCTCGAATTTTTATGGCTCTGTCAAATAACCTTTTAATGAGGCTTGTTGTATAATATTTTGGTACGAAACTATTAAAGTTTAGGTATTGAGTTTTTTAAGCACATTTGCGATAAACTGAACGCTGCGCCGAACCGTCAGTTCTTTGAATAAGACGGATAACCCTGAACGGAAAATAGTTGTTACGTTCATGTTCACAGTTTAATGTTATGTTGGTATGCAGTTCGTTGAATACCGTAAGAACTTCTTCTACACTTCCTCTATTGTCAGTCACAACCAACACACCGTCTACATATCGGAGGGACAAATGTGTTTTAGAGGTAGCGTCTAGTGCTCAATTATCTAGATGGGTCATAGAAATAGCAGCTGACGCAGGTCCCAAGGAACCTCTCATGGCTACGCAATCAACTGACTTTGTGCTGGAAGTAGAAGCGAGCCCTAATAAATTTTGTTCCGGGAAGATGTTTCACCACTCTTGATTACTTTATCAATTTTGTGTGAGTGCCGGGTCACTTATGTAGACAGAATGGACTGGTAATTGCGCAACTAACACATTTCAGTTTGGGTCCACAAAATGGTCATGTATACCACAATGTCTCACTAAGGTCGGGATGTGACATGCCACAAAGCACTGACGTCATCGATCGACAGCTGTTGACAAGTCGACTTCAACTGAACGTGGAGAATGTCTTTCCGATGTGTTACGCGACATAAAATCGAAGGGTTCTCCTGACTGGTGAAGGCTGCAGCGATGAACACGTGGATGTTATCCCTTTGTGTACTCACGCCCTTTCGTCAGTACCAGATTCCCAACGTAGCGCGTGAGTAGTGAGATGTGTTCGTGTGTGGTAAATGATTGTGTTGGTTAGCCTCAAAACGTCCATTGAACTTCGCTGTATAAATCCGAATAGTACAGTATGAACCTGCCAAGATGTAATGAAATGTGCCCGAGAAATACACTGTCCAAACAGCTGCTACTAACTTCTCTGTTCTAAGTGAGCGTTAACATTAGCCGTTCTAATTCTGTGACAGTGGTAAACCAGCCGTTGAAGTACACAACATTCACATTGATTAGTTTCCCCAACGTGTGTTCAGCCTGAAAAAAAACGGCTGCCTTGAAAAGCTAACCTGATACGTACTGCATGCTTATATCACTGATATGAACATACCACCGCGCGAATGTTAGCCGTATAATAAACAGAAAAGCAGGAAGTTCAATGCGCGTAGACTGTATACACAGAAACTGACACAATCAATTCCTATCCTATTAGCCTAGATTGGACCTATCGGACCAGTGAGACACTAATTCTGTTTGACTACTTTCGGTTCATGCTGCAGGTGGCAATATTCAATGATATACTTCTACCTCTTGGAATTCACACAGGGTGAACAGTAAAATGTAGACAACCAGTAAAAGACATTACTGGTTGTTGTCAGTGATGTTCGGATTCGTATGTGTGACGCAATTTGAATTGTTTCGTTCACTTAGCCTCCTGAAACGACAAGCCAGTTTTAACGCAATATATTGTTTCTTACTGCGATAATATGGTTCAAATGAACGTTTTGATAGAAAGAGAAATCTTTCCAAATAATACTCAGTAATAAACGTGAACTGAAGTACCACGCATTGGAGGGGACAGCTTCAACAATTATCAGTAGGAAAAACGAGAGAAACACATGTCGTCGATATGGCTACGATGGGAGTTGGCTACCTGCTATGATACTACTGTCTTGATTTGTAAATAGGTGCTGTTGTTTTCGCACAACATCTGAATTGCACATGCGTAAAGGACAACCACCAAATGTGTCGGGATCCACCTGTTATGTAGGCTTTCTGAGATAGGTGAGTAGATTTATGAGGGACAGCTGCTCATCGTAGTGACCGCACGGCTGTAGATATTCAAAACGGTTGCAACATATCATGTGCTGAATTCCTGTCAGAATCTTATCTCTTTTTATTCTGACTTATAAACTTATGTGTTTTCTGAAGTTGATAGTACTGTTTTCTATCGGTTCTAGTCCAGCTTTTTAGAGAGTCCATTACAATTCACCAACAGTCATGGTAATACCATCAGAAGAAATGCTTTAAACAGAAGTCGAGTAAAGAAGTGAGGGGTTTTGTCGCATCGTCTGCTGATGACCTCATTAACATATCAGGTACTTACCTACAAGCCGGGTCCAACACAGGTTACAGACTACTATGATTGTGACATCTTTGGTGATTTTATTTTACCACCAAGCTTGTTGCGATTACGTCGACGGGGTTTTCATTTTGGATCAAATCTTTGTTGGATGGTAACCAAGCCCGTACTTCATTTTGAAATTTTCGTCTGTTTACGTGTGATATGCGTCGTAGTGCCATCGTGTACGATCTGCCTACTGGTCTTGGTTCTCAGTAGCGGTAATTATGTTTCCAATTTTTTGTCACACAATTACCTATCCAACCTCTTCCCATGTAAGACAACAAATCTAGAACACTTTCATTGGTTGAACTTCACTATGTTAGCTTATGATAGAAACACTGGAGTCCCGTTGACTTAAGCTTTAAAAACGTGAAGACGTTTACATAGAACTATTGTATTTTGAACGGTAGAATTGAGCATAAGTAACAACCTTTACTCAAACCTCCATAAGTTAATTCAAACAATAAGATAATTCTTTGGTTTGGCTTGCAACTATTCATCAAATTTACAATCTGTTGTCTGAGTCTGTAGACCCATGATTAACCCACAGTTACATTGATTGTTTGTCGTCTTTGAAGAATGAACATCAGTTATTTGTGCAACTCATACTTTCACGGGCTAAACATTCTACAGAACCCCATGCATATGAGGAATAATGGACTCATGAAAAGATAATTTTCTCGTTAATGTATGAGCTTCATTTCTAGTACCGTTTAAGAAACACGCCTCTTTTCCAGCTTTTATTTTATGTCCTCTACATCGAACTAAAGGTTCAATGGTCTTCCTTGGTACATGAGGTGTAGTTTACTTTCAAAAACGCTAAATTATAAGGTATGTTTTATTTGTCCGCTGCCATGATACTGATTGTAGGTGTATTGCATGGACTCATACACTTACTTCCAAACTCAGAGGGGGCACAACTGCAATAACAAATTCGTAATGTTATGTTCTGCAACATCGTGCAATGGATAGTGCTGTTAAACCAATGCGCAAAGTGCACAAAACAATTTTAGTCACACTTATTTCGGTTATTATTATCGTTTATTTTGAACGGCAATTTAAACATCTTTAGTTGAAGAAGGGGCAAGCGGTGTCACCAAAATTTGAACAAGAAAATTTGAAAGACAGGAAATTCAAACCAAGCTGTCTGTCAAATGTGAGGCACTGCATGGTTAACAACACTGAACAATTGGCAAGCATTACTGATAAACAGTTCAGCAGATTCGATAATTTAGAAGAGATCCATTTACGAAAATTTTGGACTTCGGCCAGATTCGAACCAGCAACAGAAACACATTGCCTCAACACAGTATGCGCTCTACCAGCTGAGCTACGAAGCCATGCCTGGAGCTCGGAAATTTCACATTTGTACCTAGTCACTAATCCAACCAACTGTGTCATATGGAATCCACCAAATGATCTAGCTGGTTGACTTTCCAAACAGGACTTCTCGATCAGTCCACGATGGAATGCACCAAATGTGAAATTTCTGAGCTTACGGCGTGGCTTCGTAACTCAGCTGGTAGGGCATTTACCAAGTTTGGGCATGTTGTTTCTGTCGCTGATTCGAATCCAGCCGAAGTCCAGAATTTTCGCAGTTAAGTCTTTTCTAAACTGACAGGCAGCAAGTGTTAGTGATTCAAGTAATCAAATGAAAGTCATCTATGTGATATGTTAACTAAGAAAACGGACAAAAATAATAAAGTAGCCTTTCAAAATCAAGAGTTTTTTAAGACGTGGGAGTGCTATCACATTCAGGGTTCATGCATCAGGATGGAGAAATGTCCTTCATTATGAGAAAACCGTCCGAATGTAGTAACAATTAGTGCGAGGTTCCTGATACAATTTTACCATAGGCTTTCAGGAAACAGAGCAGTCAGCAGAAATAAGTAACTGACTGCGTAGGAGAACAGTTCCAGTTAAAGAATCGCATTTCAAGAAAAACTGTACATGATACCACGAAAAGAGATGTTCATAGTAGGATGAAAAGTGGAGTCCACGTCACAGCCCATAGTATGAAACGCCGACCAAATCGCAACCTTACGAGCGTCGATCCAGCATTTCGCAGTTTCGTGTATCCGGGTTTCTGTAGTCGCCCATTATATTGACGTCCGGTACCATAGCAGCGATATCACGAAACACGATAACTTCGGGTTCAGTGAACGTGTTCGCCGTCAGCACTTGCAGCTCCTCGAAGACTGTACAGGCCAGATTTCGCGGCATTTTTCGCCGCGGTTGTGCAGAGCACAACGCACATCGTGAATGATCCTGCACGACCGGAGATTCTGAGAGAGGCTGTCAGGTCGACTACAGTTGCAATGATATGGAACTGAGTGGTCACCTCGGCTATCTCGGAAATTCCGGAACTTAACTTTGGAAGACCACATCAGAGTTAAATGGCAAAAAAGAAGGTCCTGGGAAAACCTCATCGCTTCAAACATGCCCATCACGATAACGAGAATGAAAACATGGAAGCGGACATGTTTACGATAATGAATCTTGAGGCCTGTACAATTATATAAGAAGTTAATAAAGTTAGATCAAGATATCGATCAGACTTATTTCAAAGTAACTAGGTCATTGGTCAGTCAATTGCCGATAGCTTGATTGGTCGGTTACGTTACGCCTGTCCATTGGTTTGACCGCGCAGGTTGGCCATCGATCCGGTGGGTTTGTGACCCTGGTAAGTGCAGCGCCTAAACACCACTTTTTGATGATATAATACAGGGTCAAGCAGCCTGATTCCAATAGTCTCGGCAGTACAAACTGTTCTAATTCAGACCGCTTTTGATGAGTTGCCTGGCACACGATATATCACTTTGAAGGCTTGACTGGTTTTCATGTGATGTTCACCTTCAATCAGATGAGCGAGGATAGCACTGTTGACCGATCGTGATTCTCCATGCCCCGGCCACCGTGAATGGCGTTCACGGATTCGTTTTGAAAGTTTTCTTGACGTTCAACCAATATAACCTGCTCCACATGAACAAGTGAATGAATAGGTACACATAGATGAGGTCTGAACTGTCAGTCTATCATTGTTATAAAACCTGAGAATTGAGGATGTGGAAGAATGAATACGGAGTTCAGCTGTAGCATAGATCCTGCTAATTGTCTGGTTGAGCCCATTTGTCAGCCGTTCTCTGGCATTGTCACCTTCGAACGACACTCGAATAAACACAGATTTCTTTCTTATGTCATGCACTTCAGGTTTAAGTGATATTTTGTTCATGTTTCTAACGATAAATCGTTCCGGGTAACCGTTATCATGAAGTACGCTGATTATGAATTCGAGTTTACTTTCTAACATATCCGCTGAACAAATTTTGTATGGTCTATCAGTCAGGCAGTATACTAGATTTCTCTTCTGTTTTAGGGGTACAAAAATGTGAAAGTTTGAGTACTGACTTGCCCACGTATTCTTGCGATGAATTGTACGTTGAATCGTTCCACCCATTCGTCGATGTAAACAAACATCTAAGAAAGATATATCGTTTCCAGTCTCCTCCTGAAGTGTAAACTTAACTGACTGGTGAGCGCGATTGAATATATCGAGTACTGTGTGCATATTAGTATTCAAACTGGCTACGATAAATATATCGTCTGCGTATCGGTGGTATTGAATGAACTGGCTGATGGTGAGTTGAAGCATAACACGTTCAAGCTTTCCCTTGAATATATCGGCCAGGAGAGATCCGAGCGTGGATCCCATTGCTACGCCATCTGTCTACCGATACAGCACACCGTTAAACAGCAGTTGTACACCGAATGTGCAACGGAGCAGAAGCTGTTTCAATTTCAGTGGTGGTAAACCAGTATCGATTCCGATCTCAGACACGTAGTCACAGATAAAATTGACGGTTTTTAACAGCTGTACGTTTGTGAATGACGACACTACGTCTAATGAACATGATTTCTGTGAATTCATGTTATGTTATGCATCTGACGTATTCAAACTTATCACGCAGATTGAGCGAGACAATCGCCTTTCGGAGGGGTTCAAGCAGTTTCACTAGCCATTTCGCCGCTGAGTGGTAAGACGAATTCATCATCTCAAGTACTGGACGAACCGATACGCCAGGTTCGTGGACTTCTAGTAGACCACAGAGACGGGGTATAGGAGAGCCCTGTGATCGTAGTTGCTCCTAAGTCGCGGGCGTTATCAGTTTTTTGTTCCTTAATGACACTTATTGGTCTGTTGTTCGGCATACTCGGTTTTGTCCCTTTAGTTAGCAACTCTACGAAATTTGGTCTGGTCTGCAAGAATATCGTTCACTGTCTCGATGCAATCGTTTATATTCGGGATGACAATTCCAGCTCCTTTATCTGGTCTACTGAGGAGGATATATAGATTCTATTGGAACGTCTTTAATGAATCCATGTGCTCTTTAGTTAAAGGCCTTCTCTGTCTCGATGTACGCTTACAGCATAACTGGCAGCAGTTGACAAGTATAATTTGAACTAACTTAAGGTCAGCTAACGAACTCAGGGTTAAATCTTGCATCTGACCGAAAAGATTCTCAGATTGCACCTCAAGTTTGAAACGTTCTTTCGTACGTTGTGGGCAACAAAATATAGAACCGAGTGAGTGCGCCCCGATTGTGATATGATCAAGATGTAAATTGGAAAAGTTGTATACTTACCTTCCTGGTTGACTTGGAAATTCTGTTTGAGGCCTGGTAGAGCAGAGACTGCGTGGCAGTGAAGCCCGTTTCTTCTGAGTCCGTCTGACAACCATTTGTTTCACGAAAGCAGTGAAAAATTCCCATTTCCGATCTGTGAAATTTACCACTGTTGGTTCTCGCTGCGCCCTAGTTCGCTCGAATTCGACGATTCCTGCGCTATGAGTGTCAAGTTGATCTAGACTGTAGCATTTCAGTGCTATGCTTCTTATCTCGACACGGTTCCTGCGTAAGGCCTACCAAAATGGCTTCAGGTATTCGTTGCTATCAATGCACTCAGTGATGAACTTGATCGATTCCTTTGTATCTGTCAGACGAATGGTGAACTTCAGGTACTCGTTGAGCGCCTTGGCCACTCTGGGCTCCTCGGTTAGTCTCATCGTTTCAAATATGCTCATTACGATAATGAAAATAAAGACACGTAAGCAAACATATGTTTACGATAATTCATCTTCAGACCGGTACAATTATATGGGGAATTAATAGAGTTAGATGGAGATATCGATCAGACCCACGAATGTGTCATTCGGTTGCTTTCTGGATCTTTGGCACTTACATTAAGTGGTAGACTCTCATCGCAAGATTATTAACAAGACTGTTTGAACATGTTTCTTATTGTAGTGGTGCTTCGCTTATTAAACCGACTGAGTTCATCAATTACAAGCCCGTTGATGACTGAAAAACTTATACCCAACCAAGTGCTGTTCGATTCTGTTCAACATCTGCTTTCTAAATTTTCTAGTTAGTCAACGGAATAGAAAAAGAAATTTACACTTGTTCATAAGGAGTATTATATCTAACCGATCGTTTCTCATTTTGTGGCAATCTTTCACTGTTGCTATCATCCTCTTCAACAGTAGCAGTCATAAAATCAACAAAATGAGCAACATTATGTTTATATCTATCCTCATTATCCTCACCACCGATGACATTACACTAGTAATGTATATTGCTGCTCTTACGTGATTCAGCCACATCATGATGAACTACTATTCGCTGTGAAACTAAATTAAGGAATGGAGGAACTCAATTCCTGAAATACCCACTTCCAAATTCAGACAATCAGTAACATGCTGCCAACCGCTTGCAAATAACAACTGAGTTGAATCCTTAACACGGTTGCATTTTGGCTTTTACTGTACCACTTCTTAACTTGTCATACCACTCAAACAGCAACATCATTCATTCCGGTGAACTCAGTTAGCCACCGTCTCTTCGATCAGAGGTCAAGTGCGTCAAAAGTACTCATTCCTAAAGGTCAACATGGCCTACCTCTATTGACTTAGTAATGGCTGCCTCTAGTAAGTAAGTGGACAATTATTACACTTGCAGTTACTTTACCGGTTACTTATATATTGACGAAGGATATGTGCTTTTCGATTAACTAGGTTACTCTCGATCATGGGTGGCACTTTCGTTGCAGGAACGAACTTAGTTTGCAACGTGGCAACTCGCCGTGAGCACTGTTCAACTCAAAAGAAGTAGTTTGATCAGGTACTTAGCTATTGTATTCCTTAGACTTAATAGTTATTTTTGGTCTACCTGTGAATGTATTGGAATATCGGTGGTCAGTATATCGAATGAAATAATGGGCCTGAGATAGCTAGGCTGATCGCGAATGGCTGCACTATCTGAAACTGTCTGTCCAGTCAACATCC